CTGGTTTTCCGAACTGAAAATATGGTCACCCTAAATGATTATTAGTCTGGGCCGAAATGCAAAAACGTGTTGCCATGCAGGAGAGTTTAACACCTCCACATTAAGCTTGTTTGTTGCCAAAAAAACAAAAACATTTGCCTTGCTGGCTATTATTGTGCAGTGAGTAGAGTGCGTCCAATCGTTGCTAGGCAACAGCCTCATAGCCTTTGTTCTAATATCTCTTTTTAAATGACCTACTTTTATATACTGTGAGGCGGATAGGAGACCCCCCCACCCCCCACCATTCCAACTCCCGCTCCGGATGCGGAATAGAATGCGGTGACACTGCTTCGCCATTTTTTTCTTCCTCATCATCCAGAAGCCCATCCCCCTGGTTTAGGGAAACCATCAGACTTTCATTCACGCTGCACTGGGAAGCGGCCCGGCCTGCAGGATCATGGCCTCACCGAGAACAATAACCATAGTGGCCCTTTCTTTTGCTCTGGGCTTATTTTTCGTTTTCATGGGAACCATTAAACTCACTCCGAGGCTAAGCAAAGATGCCTACAGTGAAATGGTGAGTAAGCTTTGTTCAGCAGGGCGCATCAGGAGGCTCAAATGAGAGCCATTGTTCAGGGGCGGACTGCAGATAGACACGGTGACCTGAAAGGTAAAATAAAGGAAAAGTGACTGCATTTAAATGAAACGGGTATCCAACAAGCAGGGCTATCTCTGCTGAGAATTCGGTTATATTGAAGACAAGCATTCTGCGAATAAATGTGAAATAAACCTCATCAAATCATAGTAAACACAAAGAAACGCTGCCAAATGTGATAAAAAAAAAGTCTAAATAAGTCGGTGAGTTTTTGCACATTTTATGCAGAAATACATTTTTTTTTTGCATGAATGAACATTTTAAACTGTAGTTGAGATGAGCTGAGGAGCAATGGCGGCGCATTCTAGCAATTTCTGAGATGCACCTGCAGTTGCTGATGTTGAAACATCCTGCATGGATCAGGGCTTATATGGAGGACCAACTCTGCCATATCTAAGAATAAATACAGAAATAAATAAATGCTCAAGAAATCAATAAGCATACAATTAATTGTCCCCCAAAATACAATAAACAAATAAATGTAGGTACAAATTAAATTATACAGTAAGGCATAAATGTATATACTGTATCTCTTTTAATTAGCTTCTTTGTTTATTCACATTTGTAATAGTTGCGTTATTTATTTATTGTCCGTTATAATCTTCAACTTTATTTATTACTTATTTTTTTAAAGTATTTGTTTATTTGCATGATATAATATTTTTGTCTGTTTTATTCTGCCTCTGTATTTTTTTACCCTCTTTATTTCTTCAATGATATTTATTTCTGCCTGTTGTTTTTACATTTCTGTATGTATTTCTGCCTCATTATGTAAATGAGGAGGGGTGTGTCTTAGAGAGTCAACTTCTGCCCATTAAAAATGGAAGAGTTGGTCCTGCATAGGCTGATTAGCCTGGGTGCCATTCCGAACTTAGTCCCGCCCACAACGTTTGAGGTCGGGTAGTTCGGTCTGGCATTGCTT